TATATACACTGCAGTTCACAAAATACATAAATGGATACATAGACTTTTACATAACATTATATTGAACATGAATCTACCGACTTAAAATAAAGATTTTTAAAAAATTTAGACTCAGATGTTGTATGTCTCAAGGGTTGGGGAAGAGAGTTCCAAACTGACGGAGCAAGGTGGGCGAACGATCTTTCAGCTAATTTTTTTACCGCCTTTTCTAGGAACTCGTAAAAGATACTGGTCGCCTGATCTTAGTGATCTAGATGGAACATAAATCTGGATGAGATCACTAAGATATGCATACACACACTATATAATATGTAGATCAGGTGATGACAAACAGTTTAGGTCGCTCAGACAATGTGTACATACTGGAGCACACACTCACAGACATGTATACACATTAAACTACCTACTTATACTTGTGAGCTAACATACCCACACAAACGTATACCCACACGTTTTACTTTTCAGTGAAGATTTAAAAGTACGATTACCGGAGACGCTATTTACTGGCCTTTAGAGACACCCTTTCTTGCAATTTATCTTAATTCTTACAGTTTTCCTTCTCTGGGCTTGTCTGTGGAACTCCCAAAGGCGACATAGTTCCATTGTGGAATTGAAAAAGTAGCAAACACTTACAAATCAGTGAACATAGTTTATATGCTATGGGAAGCCCGCTGTGTTGTTGGGCTATCCACTATTGAAGCTTTTATCGAGGGCGCTGTGGGCGGACCATGTTTGATCTTTGGGCGATAGAGGATGCCAAACAAAATTAAAGTTGGTTTGTTTGGGCTAGCCAGCGTGGGATTGTTTTATATTACCTTAAAATCACTACTCGTGGTGCTCGGAATCAGGCTCTTTGCCATTTTCCTAGTTGATTTTTGTTTCAGGCGTTTGGCTTAGATCGCTTGGTTTTGTGTGATTTCGTCTGGATTAGTTTGGCTGGGAATTTGTTTCTTAGATTATTAGCAGACTAGGTTCTAAACCAGGATCTGTATTAATTTGGCTTGTTGTGGCCCTATTGTAGGAAAACTGGGGCTGGTCTTAAATTTGCAATATTTGGGCTTCTTGTCTGCCAGCTATCATTCTGATTTTAGGTTTTTATTTACCTCTCTTTTTTTGCGAGTGACTCGCACAGTCCCCCCCCAGTTCAGTGAGCAAGATTGAAGAGCCAAATTAGCATCTATCAACGACTTTATATAAACAAAACAAAAAAAGGGGAGGGGGAGGGTGGCGGTAGGGTATCTGTTAGGGTTCAGAAACGTCAATGAGAAAATTATAGTTATTATAATCTGTAAAGATGTTCCTTTTTTCAGCGTCGATAGGAAACAGCACTGCTCATATTAATGGTGAGTGCTGAGTGCTCGATACGGAAGAGTAGCCTATCACGTTCCATCGATCCTGCTGTCAGAAATTAGTTGATTGTTGATTAGTCGTACAATGTTCTCCGCATAATCTGGAGACTGGAATCTTTAAGTTGAGACTTGGAGTCGTTGTACAGATTTATAATCCGAAAAAATGCGGTTTCGACTTCTTCCACACTGTAGTCTTTTTTAAAAGTGAATAATAAAAGAAATACTGGAGTCTTTGCTGTTGAATTTTCGGTTAAATCAACAGGAGGAGGGGACTGGTGTCTGTCTGTCTGTCTGCCT